GGCGATTGTAAAAAGAAAAAGAATATTGCTCAACTTTGTATTGAGCTCTCTTTTAAATTAAATGGAACATTGGAATTGTACCCTATTCGTTCTCATCTTACCTGCATGTATATATTTAGTTATTCATTTTCAGCCATTTTAAAGCCAAGGGAATTTTAAAAGAGAGTTTATTTATCTTGGATGTCCCCAAGATTTCTTTACACGTTCTTTCAAAATTAATGCGTCGGCTTGCTTACAGTTCGAAATCGTTTAATTCTTTTTGTTTACCCAACCATTCATGTTCCTGAATTCTCTGATTCTCACTTTCTACTCCATTGCAATTTCTTCCTCTGTTTTTCTTCATCTTTTTTATTGCACACTAACGTTATTTTCTCTTTCATTTTGAGTTCTCGTATATATTTTTGTAGAGAAATTTAACAAAAACAACGGAGATAAAGGTACAAAAGAAACAAAAGCTCATTTTGGAAATTGGTAACCCAATGCTTTTGGAGGAGGAATGGAGAATATTATACACAATGGACTTCTGCCACAGGCTGTACGGTACCTTAAAGATATGCGGGTCGTGTAACAGTTATCAGCGCTGAAATCGGAATAGGCGTACCGTGTTCAAATCCGGATCAATTCTGTTTTGTTCACTAAGGCATGAATGAATCTTCCGCTTACTGAGGATTAAATAGTAATGCAGAGTGGGCCCCTCAGACTTGGCAGGGCAAAGACAAAAAACAGCCTAAACAGAGATAGGCCCCATCAAATGAAACGGACTGACCTTTGCCCTTCATTTTTTTTATCACATTGCTTGCTTGCTGCCTAAATATACTCGATTCATGCACACATACACAAATACATTGTGTGGGGGGTATTCGTGCACATACAAATTTTTAATTTATTGTATTTCCAACTAATGAATAAACATACTTTTCATATAATTAACTGTACACTGATGCATAATAACTAAATATGCTTAGAAAACAGAACGAAAATTGATTTAATAGAAATAAATCTCATTTATCCATTTTAATGGGTGAAAAAAGTCTTCGTACAATACAAAAAAGAATACATAATCTTCATTTAATACTTTGTAGAAAAGTCATTATTCACTTCTATAGCAACCAACCTCTTCTTGTAGTTCTCAATTAATCTCTTTTCGTTTTATTTCAACCTATGCTAAATTTGAGGGTGGCTTCAATTTTTGAATAGATATATATATATATATATATATATATATATATATATATATATATATATATATATATATATATATATATAGGTAAAAAACAAATAGAAAACGTATATCAGTCTTGCATGTTTCACTTTTATTAAAGCTTTGTACGTCAGATATAGATTGATTTTTTTCTCAATCTTTGACGAAGCTTTAATAAAAATGAAACATGTTAGATTGATATACGTTTCTTATTTTTTGTTTATCTTTTCACACATACACACACACACACACACACACACACACACACACACACACACACACATATATATATATATATATATATATAGAGAGAGAGAGAGAGAGAGACAGACAGAGACAGGCACACGCACATACTATATAGATAGATTGATAGATAGACAGACAGATAAAAATATAGATATAAAGCATGATTTTATTTTTTTAAATTTATTCATTGAACTTGGGGCATAGATTTTTCCTTTTGTTTTTGTTCTTACTTCCAGTATCCATACTTAACAGTATTATGTCTCGGAAAATTGGGAGAGTAACGCTTTCGAATATACATGAGGTCACTGTTTTAAAAGAGCAAATCTCCAACGACTGAACAATGGGGTGCTAAATTATATTGAATACAAACGTCATATTTCTACCCCTTCACCCTTGTATTGTCCACAGCCCACCTCTCTCCCACCCCAGTGTGGCATTGTCAAAGTATAAAATATAAGTAAAAGTTCATATTTTGTTATTGTTTTGTTCAAGTACTTTCGACCATCGCAGTCATTATCAAGAACCAATGTGGTATCTGTGTGGTCGTTAGAATTCCTTTGTCTATATCCTGGTATTCTTTGGGAAGTTGGAAGTTAGAAATAGCCTGACGTGACGCCATATGCAACGGTTTTTGAGAGCAATAAATTCACAAATATACTAGGATGTTTTTAATCACGGGGCATAATATATCTTATTCATATGTGTACAGGGTTATTTAAAAAGAAAGAGCTGATTTTCGAAAATTTAATGAAAACAAATGACAAGAGGCAGAAACACAGTCAAGACATTATTAGATAGGAAAAGGTATCACGTATGGCACATAACTGATGACTGACTGAATTTTTATAACCTGAAAATAAAATCATATTTTTATTAAAAAAAGTAAACATAACAGCAATTTTTATAAACAAATAAGTCACCTACAGAAACGCCTGATAATTATGCACCAAACGAATACATTTATATATATATATATATATATATATATATGTGTGTGTGTGTGTGTGTGTGTGTATGTGTATGTATAAAATTCACATACACCAGCATTTGAAT